AAACAGATCAAACCAAGAGAGAACAATTCTACTGGAGTGAGGAGTTTGTTTTTAGCAGTCTCTGGGATGTAGGCACTGAAAGGTAAGGGATATGATGAGGACCAGCTTCCCTAAATGTCTATACCTCCAGAACTCCAGTCCTACATTCTACAGTCCACATCTTGTCTCTCAACCTCCCTCTCCCTGTCTCTCTCCATCTCTGTCTCTCTCTTTTTCTCTGTCTCTCTCTTGCTCTCTGTCTTTGTGTCTATCTCTTTCTTTATCTATGTCTCTCTGTCTCTGTCTCTCTCTCTGTCTCTCTCTGTCTCTCATTCTGTCTCTGTCTGTCTCTGTCTCTATCTGTCTTTCTGTCTCTGCCTCTCTGTCACTCTCTCTATCTCTGTTTCTCTCTGTCTCTGTGTGTGTGTGTCTCTCTCTCCCTCTCCTTCCCTCCTCTCATTCTTGTATGCCACTTCACACTCAGCATTCTCCCGGCCAATCAGGAGTCATGTCTCTCTCCACATACACAGAGACAAAGCTGCCTTTCGGGGGGGGGGGGGGTAGGGGACAGCACCTCAGATTTAGACAGAAGCAGACTAACACAAGCAAGTATTCTTGGGGGGGCGCCTGCATGCAAGGTTGTGATAGCTACTGTACCCATTGGCATCTGGGTGGGGCTTTGGGAAGACAGGAGGCCCAAATTTCTGGTAGCTTCCATGGCTCATAGACAACAGAAATAGAATTAGTGTCCCCCATTTCTGACTTTCAGACCCAATTTCTCAAGAATATCAATGAGGGACAGCTTAAATGTCATCCATAAATATTACTTCAGTGTTGGCCTGGGCCCTGATCTACCTCTATTCACAGTATTACTTTAGTCATACTCCTAATGACTTGCAGTGGGGAGAAACCTGAATTAAAATCTCCCCTCACACTAACTGTTAGCCATGACCAATTCATTTCACAGAAGGCCCCAGGCCAGCCTGCCTTCACTCCCCTCCCAGCCCTGTGCTCTACTTTCCCTGGACTCCAAAGGTGCCCTCCTTCCTCATCCTCCAACTCCTCTGCTTTTAATCTTCCTTTGGGGTGCTGCCTTCACCTGTTAGAATGTAAGCCCCTTGAGGTCAGGAACTGTCTTTTTCTTTGTATTTACTACCTAACAACTAACATAGTGCCTGGCACATAGTCAGCTTTCAATGGATGTTTATTTCCTTCCTTTCTCCTTCATTTAACCTCACAGAGCCTCATTTTCCTCATCCGCTAAATGTGGATAATAATACCTATAGTGCTTACCTAGGTGGTGAGTAGATAGAACGCCAGGCCAGAAGTCAGGAAGACTCATCTTCCTGAGTTCAAATTTGGCCTCAGATAAACTAGCTGTGTGACTCTGGGCAAGTCACTTCACCCTGTTTGCCTCAGTTTCCTCATCTGCAAAATGAGCTGGAGAAGGAAATGGCAAATCACTCCAGGATCTCTGCCAAGAAAACCCTAAATGGGGTCACAAAGAATCAGACAGGACTGAAACGACTGAATAATAATAACAATAATACTTACCTGGCAGGATTGTTGTGAGAAGTAAGTGAAAACCGAAAAGTGCTATCATAAAGTAATGCTTCAAGAAAGACCATAAGATGAGTGATATTGTTATTTTATTTTTAGTATTAATAATGATAATTAGTTTTTCTATAATAGCTGCCACATTCTAGGTACTGTGCTGAGCGCCTCACTTCATCCTCACAACAACCTGGCAGATAGGTGCTATTATTATCCCCATTTTAGAGTTGAGGAAACTGAGGCAAACGAAGATCAAGTATCTTACTCAAGGTCATATAGCTAGTAAGTCTCTGAGGCAAGATTTGAACTCAGGTCTTCTTGAGTCTAGCCGTAGCACTCTATCTGCCGCCATTTTCCCTAATGACCCCCATTGGCCGCTAGCAGAGCTGAAACGTTTGCCCAAGGCAACTGTCTTCTGACTTGATACTGTCATTAGGTCCCATTCCATTGAAATTTTATAATATACCCATGTCAGCTTTTGTCCATTTTGTCCATGGTCCTAGCCAATGGAATGTGCTGGGCGGCTAAGTGGTTCAGTGGATAGAGCGCTAGGCCTGGAGTCAGGAAGATCCGACTTCAAATCCAGCCTCAGACATTTCCTAGCTGTGTGACCCTGGGCAAGTCATTTAACCCTGTTTGCCTCAATTTCCTTACTTGTAAAATGACCTGGAGAAGGAAATGGCAAACCATTCCAGTATCTTTGCCAAGAAAACCCCACATGGGGTCATGAAGCATCAGACACAGCTGAAATAACTGAACAGCAGCAACTAGAACAACATATGGGACGTGCTAGTTATCACCTTCAGGGTAAATCATTGCATTCAAAGGTACCTGGACGTTTTCATGAACCATCACAAAATTCTCCTAATTAGATGGGGCTGGGACTTCAGGATTGTCACCCATTCTAATGACAAACAGGTTTATGAGCAAGTGAGAAGGCAAACAAATCCTATTTTTTGCCAAATGAGGTGGAGCTGGGCTGGGTTGGGGAGTGAATCAGGCCCTATCAACTGGTGGGTGTCTCCTTTTTGGGATGCTCCAGTAGGACAATTAAAACCCCTATAAATAGGCCAGAATCCCAGTTCCCTGGTGTCCTCCACCAGCTTGTACACCTTCCACTTGTTCTCCGGGAAACAGGTAAGCAAGGCACAAGATGCCACCTGCCATGCTCCAAGTTGCTTCCCGTGATCCTTTGGGCTGAATGTCTAAGGATGTTCACTGTAGGTGAGCAGTCTTAGATAACCTGTGACTTCCTGTTCATTGCAGCTATGATTGCTTTCTTTTCTCAAAGATTGTAGCAGATGTCACCAGTATCTACAGAGATTACAGAGTAATCTTGTCTTTGTGTAAATGATTGGTTTGAGGCATTCTGGAAGACTTGGTCCTACTGATGGATGAGCCAGGATCCCAGAGTCAGAGAAGAGTTTTGCTGTGTGGAGGTTAGAAAGGCATACACACAAGCTGAGGGCACTCACCAGGGCCAAGCCCTTGGATTGGAAAAAGCACCTCAATCCATTCCAGACCTACTGCATGTTGCTTCTGCTTTTAGTAAATGATTATCAAGTCTGTTTGGAAATCCAGTCTGTTCTTAAGTAGTAACTATGGAGTTATCATGCAGGCCTTCACTGTTCAGCTACTCATTAGGACCTTCCATCTACAGGAGAAAATTTAATTTAAGTCTGGATTCCAAGAAGTCCCAACATCCTAACTTTATTTCTATGTATTTGAAGATGCTTGCTTTTTTTTACATAGTTGAATTTATCTATGTTTCCACTTCAGTATTTTTCTTTAGTGATGGAATTTGTTGACACTATTATTGTTGATAATTATAATCAATTAGCAAGCTTTTAAGTGCCTAATATGAGCCAAATGGAACAGGTAGGTGGCACAGTGGATAGAGTGCTGGTCCTGGAGTCAGGAAAACTCATCTTCCTGAGTTCAAATCTGGCCTCAGACACTTGCTAGCTGTGTGACCCTAGGTAAGTCACTTAACCCTGTTTGCCTCGGTTTCCTCACTGTGAATTGAACTGGAGAAGAAAATGGCACACCACTCCAGTATCTTTGCCAAGAAGACCCCAAATGGGGTCAAGAAAAGTCAGAGGTGGCTAAAAAATAACTGAACTGAATAACAAACATGCCAGGCACTGTGTGAGGCACCAGAGATGCTCAAGGAACTGACGTTCTATTGAGAACAACATACACAAACTATACCCATTTTACAGTTGATGAAGCTGAGGCAGACAGTGGTTAAGTAACTTGCCCAGGGTCACACAAACTCTATTTATGATAAAATGTAAAGTAATTTGCTAGATAATTTACAAAGTAAATTATAAAGCTACAAATCCCCAAAGTAATTTAAATCCAAAGTAATAAATAAGGTAATTTTAGAGGAAGTCACGAGCAGTTGGAGGGAATCAGCAAAGGCCCTTTGTAGGAAGTGACAAAGCTGAGCTTTGTTTTTTGGGTTTTTTTTTTCTTTTTAGGCAATTGGGGTTAAGTGACTGGCCCAGGGTCACACAGCTAGTAAGTGTCAAGTGTTTGGTCTGAGGCCAAATTTGAACTCAGGTCCTCCTGACTTCAGGGCTGGTGCTCTATCCACTGTGCCACCTAGCTGCCCCCAAAGCTGAGCTTTGAATGAAGCTAGGGATTTTAAGAGGTGGAGGTGAGGAGGGAGAGTGTCCCAGGCTTGAGGAATAGCCTGTGCAAAGGCGTGGAGGCTGGACATGGGTATAAGGAACAGGAAGATGGCCAGGTTGGCTGGATCACAAAGTGCATGAAGGGGAGGAATACATAATAAAAATGAAAAAGTAAGTTAGATCCAGGATTAATTGTAGCTTTCGTTAGGGGAGAAGATAGAGGGAAAATAAAGTAAAAAGTGCACAGCAGAGAACAAAAGAAAACCAACAAGGAAGCAAAGAAAAGCTGGGTAGGTTTTCTTGAAATGGAAACTTATTGTTTTATAACAAATCTTCTCTTGTGGTCTGCTGTGTGCATAGCAATTTTTTTTCCTTTTCGCATTTTGTATTTAAAATTATTTTTTAAAATGTATTTAAATTATTTAAAATTAAAATTAAATTATTTTAATTATTTTAAAACTATTAAAAATTAAAATTAAAAATTATCTTAAAAAAAGAAAAAAGTAAGTTAGAATCAGGTTGTGAAGGGGTTTAAATGCCAAAGGAATTTCTGTTTGGTGCCAGAGTGACAGCCACAGCAGCAGCAGCAGCAAGAAGCATATTAATTTCCATTTCCAGAGGTTTGCATTCAGAAAGCTGCTGATGGTGTTTCTCACTTAATAAGCTCTCCCGTGACTCTAGAGGAATGTCTCTGAATAAACGCTATCACACATCCCTGGCTTTCTTCCTTTCCAGCAGGAAATAGTTTTCTGCCAGAAACCCCTCCTGGTGTCTATCTGAATCACCCACCTCTTCTGATGTCTGCTTCCAGGTTCAACTGAATTTGCAAATATGTCTCAGCTCCTGAACAGCATCTTCACTGTGATTAAGGTGTTCCACGAATAAGCCAATATGAATGATGACTGCACATCCCTGTGCAAGAAAGAACTGAAGCAGCTTCTGCTGGAGGAATTTAAAGAGATCCTTCGGGTAAGAGAGGGCTCCCAGGAGGCCTTGGGTCCAGGGAAAAGACAAAATGGAAAGACTCTTTTCAGTCAGGTGCGGCCTGCTCCCAAAGCATTTGCCCAGGTTTCTTGCAGTAAGGCCATCCCACTGCAATTACAAGAGAATAAACTTCTAAGTAAGAGGGTCTTTTTTCTTACAAAGTGAGATTGGCTTAACAGAATCCCACAGAATCACAGGTTTGACCTGGAAGTGACCTTGAAGTCATCTAATCCAAAAGCCTGATTTTACAGATGAAGAAACTGAGCAGATTACCCATCGTTATCTATATAGAAGCAGGATTGGCACTTGGGCCCTTGGACTCCAGATCCAGCACTTTCCATACTACGCCAGGAGACCTCTTCTTGCTCCTTGTCTTTTATTGATTAATCCTAACCATAGGATTACTTTCTCAAGGAGACAGTATGGTGCAATGGAAAGAATACCAACTGAAAGGTCAGCCAATGTGAGCTGAAATATCACCTCTGAACATACTCTCTCTGTGAAGTTTGTTTAACTTCCCTGGGCCTCAGTTTTTTCAGCTGTAAAATGGATTAGTTGACTACTGGGGTCCCTTCCCACCTCTAGATCTGTTATGCAAAACCAATTTACTCAAATTAATCATGAAATGGGGGTGTTTTAAAATGTGCCTATCCACTGTCTGTGCAAGACAAGCAAGAGATCAGGTCTTTAGCGAAGCAGTTCAGTGGCACCAGACTGCACGGAGCACTGAGCCTGGGCTCTTGCAGACCTGAAGTCAAATCCAGCTTCAGATACTTATTAGTTGTATGATCTTGGGCAAGGTATTTAATCTCTATTTGCCTCAGTTTCATCGACTGGAAAATGGGGATAATAAAAGCACCTACTTCATAAGGTTATGAGATAATATTTGTATAAAGCACTTCACATACTGCCTAGTACATAGTAGGTGCTATATAAAGGTTTATTCCCTTCCCTTCACTTCCCTTCCCTTCACTTCCCTTCCTTTCCCTAAAAGACTTGAACCAAGCCACAGAATTTCCAGGCTGAGGAAGTAAAGGGCAAATGCTTCAAATTTGGTCTTTGTTTTATTTTCTCACAGAGGCCACATGACCCTGAGACAGTTGACACCATCTTACAGCTCTTAGATCGGGACCGTGATGAACATGTCGACTTTAATGAATTTCTTCTGCTGGTGTTTAAGTTGGCTCAATCCTGTTATCAAATTCAGAGTAAAACGTTATGTAGAGACAAAGCCGGGGTCCACCAAGAGCAAGGGAGAGAGAGAACACAGGACCGTCACCTTCCAGAGGAGAGTACAGGCAATCAACAAAAGCAGAAGCATAGGGGACAAAGGCAGGAGTCCCACCATGATCAGTCTGAGAGACAAGATGATGACTATCATTATGGTCAGTATGAGGGACAAGATGAGGATTCCCACTATACCCAGTCTGAGAGACAAGACAAGAATTCTCATCATGACCAATCTGGGAGACACGACCGGCATTCTCACTGGGATCAGTTTGAGAAACAAGACCAGAATTCTCACTGGGGTCAGTCTGGGAAACAAGAGAAGACCCCTCACTATGGTCAATCTGAAAGGTTAGGACAGGACTCACACCCCACTAATTCAAAAAGACACGGACAGGATAGTCGCTCTGGTCAGTCTGGAAGGATGAGACAGGAATCAAGCTGTGGTCAGTCTGAGAAACAAAGGTATGTCTCTTACTTAGGTCAAAATAAGAGACAAAGTCAGGGCTTTAACTGTAGTGAACCTGAGAAACAAGACAATGGTTCTCATTATGGTCAGTCTCAAAGGCTGGGACAAGACTCAAGCTTTGGTCAGTCAAGTAGACAAAGACCAAGCACTGGTAATGACCATTCAGGCAGACAAGGACAAGAATATTGCTGTGGTCAGTCAGGGAGACAAGGACTGGATTCTACCTATGGTCAGTCTGAGAGATCAGAACAGGAATCAAGCTGTGGTCAGACAGGCAGACAAAGACTAGACTCTCACTATGGCCATTTAGGGAGGCAAGGACTGGATTCTCACTATGGCCAGTCAAGAAGACAAGGACTGGACACTCAATATGGCCAATCAGGGAGAGAAGGATTAGATTATCACTATGACCAATCAGGAAGGCAAGGACTAGACTCTCACTATGGCCAGACAGGGAGGGAAGGATTAGATTCTCACTATAGCCAGTCAGGAAGACAAGGGTTGGATCGTCACTATGGCCAGTCAGGAAGACAAGGATTGGATCGTCATTATGGTCAGTCAGGGAGACAAGGACTAGATACTCAATATAACCAATCAGGAAGGAGAGGACTGGATACTCATTGCGGTCAGTCAGGAAGGCAAGGACTGGACTCCCACTATAGCCAGTCAGAGGAGTTTGGACAAGAATCAGGTTGTGGTCAGACAGATAGACAAGGTCTAGATACTCACTATGGCCAGTCAGGAAGGCAAGGACTGGACACTCAATATGGCCAGTCAGGAAGACGGGGACTGGATTCTCACTATGGCCAGTATGGACAAGAATCAAGCTATGGTCAAACAGATAGACAAGGTTTGGATTCTAGTAATGGATATTCTGAGATACAGGGGCAAAATCATCACTTCCAAGATAGCAGAAGAACAGGACGGGAAGGGCAAGGGCTGAACAGAAACCAGGGGTATATATCTGGGGAAGACAGGCAGAGCCACTTTCAACAAGGGCTGTGGCAACCAGAAAGGGAGTCTGAACACCGTCAACATAAGTTGTATTCTCAGTCCCAGCAGGAAAGGTCTCTCTGCCACAAAGGGAGAGACTGGCAGCAGAGTGGTAGTCAACAGACTGGAGGACAGGCACAAGACAGACAAAGGCATGAAGAAAAGCAGAGGCATCAAAGATACCACCAGCAAACACATGAAGAAGAAAAGGGTCATCAGACCAGGGATAGACAGGGTCAGAAGGAGCAGGGAACCTCTCAGAGACAGGACAGACAGTCCTATGGAGAAGACCAAAGTCATCAGAGATACCACCAGCAAACACATGAAGAGGAAGAGGGTCATCAGACCAGGGATAGACAGGGCCAGAAGGAGCAGGGAACCTCTTCTCAGAGGCAGGACAGACAGTCCTATGAAGACCAGAGTCATCAGAGATACCACCAGCAAACACATGAAGAGGAAGAGGGTCATCAGACCAGGGATAGACAGGGCCAGAAGGAGCAGGGAACCTCTTCTCAGAGGCAGAACAGACAGTCTTATGGAGAAGACCAGAGTCATCAGAGATACCACCAGCAAACACATGAAGAGGAAGAGGGTCATCAGACCAGGGATAGACAGGGCCAGAAGGAGCAGGGAACCTCTTCTCAGAGGCAGGACAGACAGTCCTATGGAGAAAAGCAGAGTCATCAAAGATACCACCAGCAAACACATGAAGAGGAAGAGGGTCGTCAGACCAGGGATAGACAGGGCCAGAAGGAGCAGGGAACCTCTTCTCAGAGGCAGAACAGACAGTCTTATGGAGAAGACCAGAGTCATCAGAGATACCACCAGCAAACACATGAAGAGGAAGAGGGTCGTCAGACCAGGGATAGACAGGGCCAGAAGGAGCAGGGAACCTCCTCTCAGAGGCGGGACAGACAGTCCCATGGTACTGAGCAAAGTCATCAGATGCAGGATAGTCAAACACAGAGTAGGCAAACTCAAGACAATGAGAGATATCGTCAGACCCAGGACAGACAAGATGGGCAAGCCTGCGGTAATGAGCAAAGTAGTCATCTGAGGGGCAGGCAAACCCATGAAGAAGAAGAGAGTTCATATCACACCCAGAACAGACAAACCCATGAAGGGCACAGACAGCAAGAGGCCCAGAATCGGCGATGGCAAAGAGACCAGGAGAGCCATCCTCAGGCAGAGGGATCCTGCACACGTGAGCAGGACCACCTACATCATCAGAGGCAAAGTTCTCAGAGAAGGCCTGGTGACCAAAGTTCCCATCCAACCCAGGCCTATGGGAATCTTAAAGGAAGAGCATCTAATGGGAGCCATCCCACTAACTCAACTATTGCTCCTAGCCCCCTCTATAAGTATCTACAAGAGCAAAAAGCCCAAGGGCATCACAACTGAAAGGATACCAGATCAAGGTCAAGGCCAATTTCAAAAGCTTTCTCCCTTTAAAAAATCCTAAATTTATCCCTCTCATTTATTCTGTACTCAGTCTACATACCATTCTCCTTTTTAGAATTACTACTTACTTTTAAGGTGTTTTGGCTGGGGTGGGGCATATCCAGGGGATGTATGAAAAATGACAGCTTCCTGGTTGAGTTAGATCTGGGTTTAAAATTGGGTGAAATAATCAGATCCCAATTTGAATCAGTTGTAAGGGGTTAATTTTTTTTTTATTTGCACACTAAAATTTGGGGGTAGTTTTGAAATCAGGTTTCTTGGGCTTGTTAATTTTCCATAAAGAGGTAGATCCTTTTGGCCAGGAAGCTCAGAGACACTAAAGCATATTCTCACATCCGTGTTTGAATTGATTTATTTACTGCAGTTCAAGAGGGGTGGAAGTCTGGATGGACAACAGCTTTCAAGGCAGACACACCTATGGTCTCAATTCAACAGGAATTCTAAAACAGCAAGTTGGTCAATTAGGAAAAATTGTAGGAGAGGACATTTCAGATATTAGCAACATATTTTTGTTGCTTTCTCCCATTCTAGGGGAATGTCAATTTCATCTCTGGTAGATTTGTTTGTTTGTTTGGGGGGAAGAGTGACATTCTTTCCTTCCTTCCCTCCCCCCTCCAAAAAAAAAATGGAGGCTTTATGAATCTGTCTCCAGTTTGTGGGTTTGTTTAGTGGGAGGAAAGCATATTATGTCATATGTATCCAGTTTCAGAAGGCATTAGTAACAAATCTACAATTATCCAGGCCTATAGACCACAACTACCTCAAAAGCATTTGTGCTCCAACAATTTATAATGCATGAAAATTAACAATAAATGATTGGTGAGCAATGACTTTCGTCTCTCTCTTCCTTATTCCATCTTCACACCTCCTAGACCAGGGGTGGGGAACTTGTGGCCTTCTAGATCCTTAAGTGTGGCCTTTTGACTGAATCCAAATCCTAGACCTTCATCAAGGGATGCTTTCCAATAAACAGTTCCTCCTTCTTGGTTTTCTAGAAGTCTTTACCATTCCTCAACCCCTCAGAACAAATGTGGACCAAATAACAAGGAATGCCCAGACGTAGTTTTTCAGCTCTCTTCTTCAAGATTTGTTTCTAGAATTAGAAGAGCCCTTTGAGATCGATCCTAAAAGAGACTTTCAATATTAATCCCCTTACTTTACAAATGAGGAAGCTGAAGGGTAACATGACTCCCCTGAAAGTCTTTTGGAATAAACCTGGAATTGTTTCTTCCATTGGGATTGCGGTGGGAGGGGAGAGGCGTCTGTGGATAGCTACCTGATGGGGTAGATAGGAGGGCAAATATGAAGGGTAAGGTAGGCGGTCATTGGAATGCAAAGGAGCAAAGTTGAGATGTGTAATTCTTTCGCCAGAGGCATTAGTTATGCCTACTGTTGTTGTTCAGTCATTTTTTACTCATGTCCAGCCCTTCATGACCCCATTTGGTGATGTCTTGGCACAGATACCTAAGTGGTTTGCCATTTCCTTCTCTAGCTCATTTGACAGATGAGGAACTGAGGCAAACAGGGTTAAATGACTTGCCCGGGGTCACACGCCTAGTGTCTGAGGCCAGATTTGAACTTAAGGTGAGTCTTTCTCACTTCAGGCCCAGCACTCTATCCACTGCACCACCTAGCTGCCCTATCAGTTATACCCTATGTATCTCATTACATAGGACACATGACGGCCATCATTAGAACCAAGACAAAGGGGCCAAAGAATACTTGTTGCACCAGCTCCTTATGGTAATGGCAGTATTACAAAAACATGCCAGTGGGAGAGCCATCCAAAGGAGGAACTGAGTTGAAGAAGCCAAAGACAGCAAATGGAGAATACAAAATGGGAAAAAGAAGGAGGCTTCAAAGATGAGGCACCAAGACAGCACACATTTATTAAGCACCTACTATGGGCCACTTACTGTGCCTGGTGCTGGGAATACATAGGATGGCAAAAGACCATCTCTTCTTTCAAGGAATTCACAGTCTAACATGGAAAATAACATGCAAACAACTGTGCAAACAAGACAGGATAAATTGGGAGTAATCTCGGGGGAAAGGTATTAGCATTAAGGGAGGCTGGGAAAGGCTTCTTGCAAAAGGTGGAGTTACAGCTGAAATCTGAAAGAAGACAGGGAAGCCAAAAGGTCGAGCTGAGGAGGGAAAGAACCCCAGGCTTGGGAGAGAGTCATTGAAAATGCTCAGAGTCAGGAGTGTCATGTGCCATGTGTGAGGAGCAGCAAAGAGTTCAGTGTCACTGGCTCACAGAGTATGGATTTTCCATTTGATCCTGGAGCCCCTAGAATTTATTGGACTGTGGGACAGGCAGGTATTTAGGAAGATCAATTTGACAGCTGAGTGGAGGATGGATTGGAGTGGGCAGATACTAGTCAGGGAAATAACCAAAGGTCTATTGGCATAGTCCAGGTATGCAGTGATGAGGCACTGCACAACAATGGCGGCAGTGTCAGAGGAGAGAAAGGGGTATGTATACTAGAGATGTGAAGGCAGAAATGGCAAGACTTGACTTGATAACAAATTAGATATAGAGGTGGAGTGAGAAAGATCATGAGAAACCCAGGATGACACCTAGATTGACACCTTGGATGATACCAGTTCCGGCATCCTTTTCACTATACCTCTTTGCCCACACTCTCAGCCTAAAAGGGTATTATTTGTTCCAAGCCCCCAAATCTTGCCTCACTTCTACATCTAGTCAAATATATCCTATTACCACACACACACACTTTCCCAATGCTTCACCTTATCCAAAGCTAAATCTCCCTGATTCCTGTCTCATTGCAGGCCTTGTCCTCCCAAATATAATTTTTTTTTAAAGCAAAAATGAGTAAATCCCTGTCCGACCCCTCTTTTACAAGATAGAACACCAAACCTTCCTCAAGATTCTGTGTGGTTTGGGGCAGCTAGGTGGTGCAGTGGGTAGAGCTCTGGCCTTGAAGTTAGGAGGACCTGACTTCAAATTCGACCTTGGACACTTGACACTTACTAACTGTGTGACCCTGGGCAAGTCACTTAACCCCAATTGCCTCACCAAAAATCAAAAAAAAAAAAGATTCTGTGTGGTTCCCCAAAGCTCATGTCATCAGGCATAAAAAAAGGCAGAATGAAACTGATAACAAATAAAAAGGTATTGACCAAGGAAACTACCACAAAATTCTCCTGTAATTGGGGGAATCAATGACTTCAGCTGTTCTGTTCTGCTTGGCCCCAGGCATTTAAAGCTAAAGTTCCTTGATCCACGGGCAGTCCCTTCCCTTTAGACCATTTTCTTGGTTTATACCAAGAAAACAACAATCCACAATCACAGTTCAGTATTCTGATGGGTCTGACTTCACTGATATCTATTGGTGCAAAAAAAAAAAAACCCAAAAACAAGCCATTCATGTCTCCTCATTCTGTCTATTTCTTGTCCATGTTTTTTTTTATAGAATTTCCACAGAGGATCCATCTAATGTTCTGGAGACCTTGACTGGAATCTTTTTACATTACATGGAGACCAATGGAGCACTTGGACTATCAAACTGTTACCTCTCACTCAAGCCCCTTCCTTTTCCAATCATGCCTTTCCTTGCTTAAGATCCTTCATGCCGTTTCTTGAGTGTGGTCCATCATTAGAAATATCCCTACAACCTACTTAGGCCCACCATAAATCTCTCCATTGCTCTCTGGATTACCTGAAACTTTGATTCCTTAGAGATTTTGGCGCTTCCAGATTAACAACCATACAATGTCCCTTGACATTGCCAAGAAGAGATTATTTTGAAAAGATGGATATCAGCACTGGGATACATGATAGAGTCTTATGCAATTTCCAAAATGTAATCTCATCTCTTCTAGCTATCTAGTGCTAAGCCCAGATAGCTCTTCATCTCTGTCTGCCCCAAATATATGTATTGGCACACTAATTCAAGAAACTTGCCAACCAACTGATGTCACAGCCTCAACAATGAGCACTTTTTCATCCCATTTAGTTATTCCTATATGGATTTTCAGGTTAATCACTTTTGCACAATCATTGACATCATTGAAGAAACCCAATAACAGTCTAAGGTATGATGTAATAAACATAATAACACCCACAAATAGGAATACCTGGAGGATATTACCTTCTATAAGGAATCACTTTTCCATTAGGATGTTGAGCAAGACATCTTCCATGGCAATGGTGAAACACCTTTGGCAAGCATTAATGTCTCACTCATAGGAATGCATAAATAGTGGTACACTCGACCCATGCTTTATGCCCAGGACCTTATTTGCCATTAATAATCATTGAATAGAGGTATCTCTATATTGCATTTATCAAGGGATTCTACATGATCTTAACATCAAAGACTTCTTGTCAGAGCATAAATTTTTTTAAGGTCTCACGATCTGGACTTCGGGAATCCTTAAATTCTACCTGTGTTCTACTATTACTCCAAATTCCAGATTTTAAGATACTTGTTCATAGTAGATTCTAAATCACATTTGCAAAATTGAAGTGAATCTGCCCATTGTTGCCTTAGGAACTCGGCCCATTCCCATGCCACATCAGTTTTACCACTCATTTAATTAGGGGCTTTGGGTTCTAGTTCCAACTGGCTGCATGACCTTAAACCAATAATCTCACCTCTGTGAGCCTCAGTTTCCCCATATCCAAAACTAGATGAGTGTCTGAGCCCACAAAAGCAGAGCCTTTGGCTCGAGAGAGAGGAGGTATGTCCAGCACATTGCCAAAAAATGGCACTTCTTAGAGGGTGAATTTTTTTTAATGTGCAGATACTGACCATATTGTTTTGGGAGCATAGCTTTTAAGACAGCGTCTTGCTACACTGAGCCAACATTTTTTTATAATAAAAAATAATAAACAAAGCAAGATCATGTTTTTTCTTCACCTTCCAGGCAATTGTGTGGCCATAAATATATAATCTGCTGTATAGATT